GGGGAAAAGCCGGAAAAGAGCGTCTAGACTGGCGCGATCCTCCAGAATAAAGCCCTTTTCTGGAGGATCTCTTATTCCTACTTGCAAGTAGGACATCAAAAGCTGAGCACCAGGAACTTAGAGCCCCTCTATTAGCCTCCTTTAGCACAGACACTGTAACTGACAATATTTCCCCCCTGCTCTCTCTCCCCATCTCTCTGTCTCTGCTATTTATTTGTACCCTGGACTCCCTAACTCCACTCCTGTGAAGCAGTGGGCTGTGCCCACGAACGCTCCTGCTACAGTCGACGTTAGTCTCTAGGGTGCTGCAGGGCCAGTCGTTGTTTTTAAGCTTTTTCAGTATTGATAGAGAAACACTTTAGAAACTTGGCACTTTGTGATGTGATTGGGTGGGACTCTCTTTCATGTGACTGCCACGTCTTCCATCCTCTCCTCTTTACTAGGGCTCAGAGAATCTCCGTGAACGGACCTTCCCCTAAGGCAGGGGTTCCCAACCTTTTTCGGTCCCCGTACCCCCTTGGCTTTTAGTGAACCTTCCCGTACCCCTATTCAATAGGAAAGGAAATCAATTCTAGACTCTGGAATCCACAACTTTTTTCACGCACATGACTACTTTTGGAATATTTCAATTAGGACAGTCTAGTTATTTACCAAATATTCCCTGTACCCCCTTGACAAGCTTCTCGTGGCCCCCAGGGGTACACGTACCCCAGGTTGGGAATCCCTGCCCTAAGGGATGTCTCTGGCTGATCCATGTGCCCCTCTGCACCCGTCAGCTTTCTCCAGCCCTTTGTTTAAAAACGGATCTAAAAAGTGACAGCAACCTGGTTCCATTTTGCTTTAGGTGGAGCCCAGTCTTCCTGTGCTGGCTCCCCCTTTCCCAAAAGTTTCCCTTTTCCTTACAATGCAAAACCCCTCCTCCCTACCCCATTGGTTCATCTATGCACTGAGACCCTGCAACTCTGCCTGTCTTCCTGGCTCTGCACATGGAACTGCATCTCAGAGACCACCACGGAGGTCCTAGACTTCAGTCTCTTACCTAGCAGTCCAGATTTGGCCTTCCCTATGGCACTGGTACCCACATGGACCATGATCCAGCACTGCTGTCTCGAGAGATCTGCAACCTTTGAACCAGGCAGGCAAATCACCATGCAGTTCTCCTGGTCATCGCAACCCAGCTGTATGTCTAATGATCGAACCCCCCCAGGACTGACAGTGACTGGAGTTACCCTCCCGAGAGGTGTCCTCAGCGTGACAGGTCCCGCAACATCCTCTGGAAGGAGGGTCCCGACTGCGGGACCATTTCCCTCTGCTCCCATTGGGTGTTCTCCTCCCCTGAGCCTTTCACCCTCCTCAGCAGCACCAGGGCTGTCTGACCGGGGTGGGACCGTTCTACTGTGTCCTGGAAAGTCTCATCCATGCACCTCCCTGCCTCCCTTAGCTCCTCCACTCCACCCTGGTCTCCAGAGCCCATACATCCTCTCTGAGGGCCAGGAGTGCCTTGCACCCAATGCAAACACACCACCTGCCAACAGGGCAGGTAATCATGCATGCTCAGTAATAAACTGGATGGATTCCACTCTTGCTGGACTTTAACCTGCATTATCTTTGTTCTCCTGCAGCTCAGTCCTTTGTCTTGTTTTCATCAGGTTTCTTGGCTGTGAGTTTAAAGAAGGTGAAATGTATCTATCCCCATCTCACACTCCCCCTCGAAACCCTCGTTAGCAGCTCCTGTTTGCCAGCTCTCGGCAGGGCTTGGTAGCTGGCTTTTGAAAGCCCCGGTCTCCCTGAGAAGCCCTGCTCCTAGCTAAGGGCCGATGGTGCTCAAAGGCTTAGGGATCAAAGCCTCGTTAAGAAGCCCTTACCCCTCTCTAGCAGCCACGAGGCCCCCAAACAGACAGACCACGCGGTGCAGTTCAGCCACTCAGCAAGCACACCGCAAACACAAACACACTTACCCCCAGGGCCGCACAGTCGTTTCTCCTTCACCTAGAGAACTCCCTTTCCAAGCTCTCCCGGTAGCTGCTCTGCTCGCCAGCTCCTCTGGTCACTCAGGGGTGGGCTTTTACGGCCCTGGCTCCTGGCTGGCTCCCTGGCACGGTGCACGCGCCATGAGCACGGTGATCACTGACCTTGTGCTGACAGGGGCAGGGCCGTCTTGGCTGCTCTTCAGCGCAGCTCCAGCACTTGACCAGCCAGGCTTGAACCCTCTTATTTATACTTTCAACCAAATAGAAAAGTTCCAGGAATTCCCTATGAGTCATGAATTTTCCTGCAGAGGCCGACCGCCTGGGGCAGAAAGACGTGCTGTGGAACAAGAGGGCCTGCCTCTGCTCTGGGGACACAGCTTTTGCACGAGCGTGCGTCTGCGAGGCCTGCTTTACACCGGCATGGCCGAGAGGGGACCCAGGCCTTAGTGTGGTGCCTACGTCTCTCTGCCCATCATGGCTGGGCAAGTGACAAGCAGAGACTGTTCCCTTCTTTTTCCTTCTCCCTTGTGAAATGCCTAGATCTCACAGACCCCTGCAGAAGAGGCCTTTCTGGCCCTTAATCAGAAATACTGTCGCTCTCGTCCCCTACTCCGGACACTGACCAGGGCCCAAGCTGGGCTGTTGTTACTGCACCTCTATTCCCCCGGGAACAGGAAACGGGCCGTTCCAATGAAATCTTCAACCTGTGGGTGGTCCCTTGAGCAAGAGGCTCACGCTTGCCCTACGAAGGGACTGGCCTCTCCCTCTGGCTAGCTGAGGGCGTCCGCTCAGGGCGAAGTGCTCAAACCCAGGGCTGCAAGGCCCAGTGACCTAGCCACGTGTTCCAAGTCAGCAATCGCGAGTCCGGCTGGCTTGCAGGGTCCAGACACGTTCCTCAGGTGGGGAGTCGCCTCTCTGGAGCCTGCTAATTAGAGTCACTGACTGGGGAGTCCTGGCCCACTGCTCGGTCTCAGACAGGGAACCTTCCGGCAGCACCACAGAGTCTGTATTTATAGCTCCACACACAGCGCTCGCACTAGTAACAAGACACAGACAGCTCCACACACAGCGCTCGCACTAGTAACAAGACACAGACAGCTCCACACACAGCGCTCGCACTAGTAACAAGACACAGACAGCTCCACACACAGCGCTCGCACTAGTAACAAGACACAGACAGCTCCACACACAGCGCTCGCACTAGTAACAAGACACAGACAGCTCCACACACAGCGCTCGCACTAGTAACAAGACACAGACAGCTCCACACACAGCGCTCGCACTAGTAACAAGACACAGACAGCTCCACACACAGCGCTCGCACTAGTAACAAGACACAGACAGCTCCACACACAGCGCTCGCACTAGTAACAAGACACAGACAGCTCCACACACAGCGCTCGCACTAGTAACAAGACACAGACAGCTCCACACACAGCGCTCGCACTAGTAACAAGACACAGACAGCTCCACACACAGCGCTCGCACTAGTAACAAGACACAGACAGCTCCACACACAGCGCTCGCACTAGTAACAAGACACAGTCAGCTCCACACACAGCGCTCGCACTAGTAACAAGACACACACAGCTCCACACACACAGCGCGCACTAGTAACAAGACACAGACAGCTCCACACACAGCGCTCGCACTAGTAACAAGACACAGACAGCTCCACACACAGCGCTCGCACTAGTAACAAGACACAGTCAGCTCCACACACAGCGCTCGCACTAGTAACAAGACACAGACAGCTCCACACACAGCGCTCGCACTAGTAACAAGACACAGACAGCTCCACACACAGCGCTCGCACTAGTAACAAGACACAGACAGCTCCACACACAGCGCTCGCACTAGTAACAAGACACAGACAGCTCCACACACAGCGCTCGCACTAGTAACAAGACACAGACAGCTCCACACACAGCGCTCGCACTAGTAACAAGACACAGTCAGCTCCACACACAGCGCTCGCACTAGTAACAAGACACAGACAGCTCCACACACAGCGCTCGCACTAGTAACAAGACACAGACAGCTCCACACACAGCGCTCGCACTAGTAACAAGACACAGTCAGCTCCACACACAGCGCTCGCACTAGTAACAAGACACAGACAGCTCCACACACAGCGCTCGCACTAGTAACAAGACACAGACAGCTCCACACACAGCGCTCGCACTAGTAACAAGACACAGTCAGCTCCACACACAGCGCTCGCACTAGTAACAAGACACAGACAGCTCCACACACAGCGCTCGCACTAGTAACAAGACACAGACAGCTCCACACACAGCGCTCGCACTAGTAACAAGACACAGTCAGCTCCACACACAGCGCTCGCACTAGTAACAAGACACAGACAGCTCCACACACAGCGCTCGCACTAGTAACAAGACACAGACAGCTCCACACACAGCGCTCGCACTAGTAACAAGACACAGTCAGCTCCACACACAGCGCTCGCACTAGTAACAAGACACAGACAGCTCCACACACAGCGCTCGCACTAGTAACAAGACACAGACAGCTCCACACACAGCGCTCGCACTAGTAACAAGACACAGTCAGCTCCACACACAGCGCTCGCACTAGTAACAAGACACAGACAGCTCCACACACAGCGCTCGCACTAGTAACAAGACACAGACAGCTCCACACACAGCGCTCGCACTAGTAACAAGACACAGTCAGCTCCACACACAGCGCTCGCACTAGTAACAAGACACAGACAGCTCCACACACAGCGCTCGCACTAGTAACAAGACACAGACAGCTCCACACACAGCGCTCGCACTAGTAACAAGACACAGTCAGCTCCACACACAGCGCTCGCACTAGTAACAAGACACAGACAGCTCCACACACAGCGCTCGCACTAGTAACAAGACACAGACAGCTCCACACACAGCGCTCGCACTAGTAACAAGACACAGTCAGCTCCACACACAGCGCTCGCACTAGTAACAAGACACAGACAGCTCCACACACAGCGCTCGCACTAGTAACAAGACACAGACAGCTCCACACACAGCGCTCGCACTAGTAACAAGACACAGTCAGCTCCACACACAGCGCTCGCACTAGTAACAAGACACAGACAGCTCCACACACAGCGCTCGCACTAGTAACAAGACACAGACAGCTCCACACACAGCGCTCGCACTAGTAACAAGACACAGTCAGCTCCACACACAGCGCTCGCACTAGTAACAAGACACAGACAGCTCCACACACAGCGCTCGCACTAGTAACAAGACACAGACAGCTCCACACACAGCGCTCGCACTAGTAACAAGACACAGTCAGCTCCACACACAGCGCTCGCACTAGTAACAAGACACAGACAGCTCCACACACAGCGCTCGCACTAGTAACAAGACACAGACAGCTCCACACACAGCGCTCGCACTAGTAACAAGACACAGTCAGCTCCACACACAGCGCTCGCACTAGTAACAAGACACAGACAGCTCCACACACAGCGCTCGCACTAGTAACAAGACACAGACAGCTCCACACACAGCGCTCGCACTAGTAACAAGACACAGTCAGCTCCACACACAGCGCTCGCACTAGTAACAAGACACAGACAGCTCCACACACAGCGCTCGCACTAGTAACAAGACACAGACAGCTCCACACACAGCGCTCGCACTAGTAACAAGACACAGTCAGCTCCACACACAGCGCTCGCACTAGTAACAAGACACAGACAGCTCCACACACAGCGCTCGCACTAGTAACAAGACACAGACAGCTCCACACACAGCGCTCGCACTAGTAACAAGACACAGTCAGCTCCACACACAGCGCTCGCACTAGTAACAAGACACAGACAGCTCCACACACAGCGCTCGCACTAGTAACAAGACACAGACAGCTCCACACACAGCGCTCGCACTAGTAACAAGACACAGTCAGCTCCACACACAGCGCTCGCACTAGTAACAAGACACAGACAGCTCCACACACAGCGCTCGCACTAGTAACAAGACACAGACAGCTCCACACACAGCGCTCGCACTAGTAACAAGACACAGTCAGCTCCACACACAGCGCTCGCACTAGTAACAAGACACAGACAGCTCCACACACAGCGCTCGCACTAGTAACAAGACACAGACAGCTCCACACACAGCGCTCGCACTAGTAACAAGACACAGTCAGCTCCACACACAGCGCTCGCACTAGTAAACACACAGCTCTCGCACTAGTAACAAGACACAGACAGCTCCACACACAGCTCTCGCACAAGTAACAAGACACAGACAGCTCCACACACAGCTCTCGCACTAGTAACAAGACACAGACAGCTCCACACACAGCTCTCGCACTAGTAACAAGACACAGACAGCTCCACACTCAGCTCTCGCACAAGTAACAAGACACAGACAGCTCCACACTCAGCTCTCGCACAAGTAACAAGACACAGACAGCTCCACACTCAGCTCTCGCACAAGTAACAAGACACAGACAGCTCCACACTCAGCTCTCGCACAAGTAACAAGACACAGACAGCTCCACACTCAGCTCTCGCACAAGTAACAAGACACAGACAGCTCCACACACAGCTCTCGCACTAGTAACAAGACACAGACAGCTCCACACACAGCTCTCGCACTAGTAACAAGACACAGACAGCTCCACACACAGCTCTCGCACTAGTAACAAGACACAGACAGCTCCACACACAGCTCTCGCACTAGTAACAAGACACAGACAGCTCCACACACAGCTCTCGCACTAGTAACAAGACACAGACAGCTCCACACACAGCTCTCGCACTAGTAACAAGACAGTCAGATCCACACTCAGCTTTCGCACAAGTAACAAGACACAGACAGCTCCACACTCAGCTCTCGCACAAGTGCATGAGCCAATCAGTAGCACATCAGCTTTCATTTGACATTTCACACGGCCCCCTTTGCACAGACTTTTGGGGCAAACCCTCCCCCCACCCCCATGGGTGCAGCAATGATCTTTAAACTCCACAAACGTGACACAGGGGTTTCCAGGCTCTGCTATTGTGTAGCTTCGGTGTTAGGATGGGTCACTAGTACATTCTGGCTTATTCTACCGAAAAGAAAATGCCTAATTGCTTCCCACTCACAGGGCAGTTTGGCATCCTTTGGCGGGAAGCGGGAAGCAGTTTTCCACTTCAGTAGAAACAGGAAGTTTCGTAAAAACAACTGTAAATTGGGGGGGGGGGTGTCAAACTTGGGTGGGAGCAAATGAAACCTCATGTTGCAAAATTCTGCAACTGGTTTTGTAGATGCGGCTGGAAGAAACTAGTGAAAATTCTTTTTCTAAAACCGAAACGCTCAATGGGAAATGCTGGCAACACTGAGCAGCTCTGCTGCGTGGCTGAGGGGTTCCAAAGCCGCCTGTGTGGCTCGCTTCTTAAAGGGACGCAGGGGCCGAATGCCTGAGCTTTTGCAAAGTGAAAGCAGAGTTTTGCCCAATGCCAATTCCAGGAAGCGCCCAGGTGAGCTCACACCTGGCATGTCTGCGAGAGGGTGCAGAGCAGAATGGGGGGCCGTTGACACGCCCCAACTCTTGTGTAGTGTTGTGAACACGAAGCTCTTGCCGCT